GGATAGGTGTACCTAATAAAGTGGCCGGTGAGTGTATGTTTCTGCTTTTTTTCTAATTATGTCAGTTTCGGTTCTCCATACTGCAGATCTTGGAAGAGGTAAATCAGTGACTGAATCAGGTGTGTTGGAGCAAGGAAAAATGTAAAACATGTATGGCTGCGGCCCTCGAGGACCAGGATTGCCCACCCCTGGTGTAAGGCCTTGGGCCCTTATCAGTAGCAAAACAGCCCAGACTGTCCCCGGCTGCTCCAAGCAGAGACTCACCAAACTAAAAACACTCCTCCCCTCCTATAATAATGYTACAACCTTTTAACTTCTTCAGGCTCTTCCTGGTTACACCCCTGGAGTTACCTTTATGTCAGACATGTAACCAACTTTTGTTTATGCTACAGAAAGGACACATGAAAAGACACACCAACTCTCATTTTTTGTTTTAAACTTTATGGCTGCAATGACKGGAAAGCATAAAATAAAAGACTGGATCTAACATTCAGGTAATCAGTAATAACATTTCCTTCATCACAATGCTGCACTTCAAACTGCACGTTTACTTGTTCCTAGAGCTTCTAAGAGTAAAACGGGAGGCACACGTGCCTTCTTCTGTAAATTATAGAGTGACACAGCACCCTCAGCACCCCTACCTCCTTTGCCCTTCTTCAGGACTGTGATATTTAATTATATGGTATGTCTGACAGGTATAGAAGCAGTTGTGATCTCACCTTGTCATGGAAAAAGTGTAGCACCAACACGAGAGTGACCTCTGTCAGGACCAGGACCAGGAGGATCACAAAGAACTGTAGAACACAGCAGGGTGATATATGAGGGCTTAAATACACCAAAGATCTTCAACTGCAACTATGTTACACATTGTTCTTGTTCTGTTCTTTAATAATAAACATGTTACATTGCTTTTTAAYGGTTAGTATGCTGAAGTTTGGCAGRGGTTTGGCACATTATAAACACAAAGATAACAGTAACAATGAAGGAGAACCAGTAAGAAAACCCAGTCCTGTTTGYATCCACAGCTCAGACTCTACAGACTCATCAGTCAGAGGTCAAACGGGTCACAGGAAGTCAGACTTTACAGGACTGCACTGTTTGTTGTGATCTGTTACAGTCKGAGGTGAACTGAGACTTTTAGATCTTATTAGATCTGGGCCTTCAGTTTGATCAAATCCGTGCTTTAAAAATATGTTGCACCAATAAATTTATGCTGCAACATTYTCTTCATGTTGTGTTCAGATTCATGTAAATTCAGTAATCCACACAGAAATATTAACAATAACACACAGAACTTACTGTTTCTGTAAAARCAGATATTGCTGAAATCTTTAGAACTGTAAACCAATATGAGATATTTAACACTGAGTTTTATTTTTCTGTAGAGAAACTACTYTTACAATGGGGACTTTGTCATTTATGTTGTACCTGAATGTTGTGGTATTGTTGTTTGTTGGTTTTTTTAGGGATGTATAGGGAATTTATGTTWACTATCAATCATTTCAAGCAAAGAAGAGATTAAATGCTCCACATGAAGTTTGTTCCACAATAAAAACCTGTATAGAAGTGTAATAAAATATATATTTTAAGAGCAGGTTATGGGACAAAGTTATTTTCTCTGAGTTGTTCCCAAACACAACATAAAAAACATGTAGACACTGATTGAGCTCTAACCAATGAGAACGCTCCTTCAGACATCTTTCTGCCTGGAGACATTATAAAACAATCTGATTGGATAACAACATGGTCATGATTTAAATACAGATTCTGGCTCAACTATAAAGTATTTGACAGAAAATAAAAGAAATTTGCCAAAACAAAACCAAGCTTCATTGAAAATATATAATTAAAATTAAACGGTTATTAAAATAAAACTTTAAGGTAACATTTTGTGTGCTGAGTTCTCTTCTGGTTCTGATTTTTACACAATCACAAACATATCTCCTCAGAATGCAGAGAGATCACAGCCAAGCTTTGATAGACTTCAGGTATATTTTAACTCAAAATATTCTTTTCAAACAGGAAGTGATAGCTCTTTTTATCTTTTCYTATCTTCAGATTAAACACGAGAGAAGATCCCAGGAGAGACTGCTGCTTGTGGTTCAAGAGTTTTAAGATCTGACTTACAGTTTTTGTTCAAAAACTGTTTGTTTTAGGTTTACTTTTCAGTTTCCATTTCTGTCTGTCAGAGTGACAGACATAATGAGCCACTGGCAGCAGCTTTGACCCTTGTTCTTTTTGCATGTCTTCAACAGTTCAGACATCAAATGTAAGCATGACGTCAGGCTGGAAGTCAGACTTGTCTTCAGACATACTGGTCAGTTCTTCTGGTCGTCTCTTAGTATTTGTGGTGAGGTTTTCTTACTGTGAACAGCAGGCAGCGCTGCTCCTTCAGAGCGCCCAGACAGCCCAGGAAGCCTGTTATCATGGTGATCCCAGCAGCGACCAGCAGCAGGTTGGCAGCAGAAAGTGAGGGGAAGGAGAGAGGAAGAGAGGAGAAGTCTGCCTGTGTGATGGACAGCCACACTCCAACACCAAACAGGCCACAGCCYCCCAGCTTTAAAGACAACACATCAGTGTTCAAACACCGATATAACCTGCTCAAACTCTGACATTTGTTTACAAAATTTAATTTATTACAATCAAACAACAGCATCACTGTGAACCATGAGGCATCATTATATTCCTCTTGTATTTTTATACAATCTAACTTCTTCTGCAGCTTTTGTGTTAACATTCAGCTCATTCAGAAGAAAAGTGATTCGACTTTTAGATTTTGTAACTTTTCTACTTTGACATGTTTACCTTTTTTTGTATGTTTTTGTTTTACAAAGATGTTCACATGGAAATACACTGAGATCTCTGAAATACATGCCTCAAATCTGATTCAGCTAACATAATCTGCTCTTCAGGTTTTAGATTTCAGATACTCTTCTGCTTTTTGGTAGTGTTTTGCTACTTTTAGCCTTTAGCCAACATTTTGTTATTCTTAGCTTCCATTAGCCTTTTATTACTTCAAGCATTTTTCTAGCACTTTAGCTATCGGTACTTTKAGGTTTTAGCTACTCTTTGTCCACTTTTAGAATTCTTGCTAGCCAGGCTAGTTCATACGTCTTTTAGCTTTAACGACTCAGATTCTGCTTCTTTAGCCAATTTGGACAAATTATTCAACATTCAGTGTTCAGACTGTCTCGTTGCAGCAAATGTTATTTCTTTACTAATWTAATATATAAAACATTTTTATCAACTTGAGCTGTGGTGGTACTGACCCAGAAGATCAGATTGAAGACAAACATCAAGTATTTAACGCAGCACAAACACCTCCGAGATGCCGACATCCTGTAAAACAACAACAATTAAACTGCATTTAAAACAAACAGAAAACAAAAACAACAAACAATTACATTATATAAAATTTACACATTTTGTCAACATCTATCTATTTGTTCCTCGGTCTTCATGATGCCATTTGATGATGCTCACAGAACATTAGGATTGATACTCAGATTAAATTACACACAGATGGACTGACCACTGCTGCTCTGGATTGTAATTCAGAGTATCAGATATATTTTTTCAGCTATAAGTTATTTTCCTTTTACCACACGTGTTTCTGGTTGTGGTAAACAAGTGATATGAAAACATTTTTACAGATTCTTTCAGTCTTTTATTCTGTGTTCATGAAGGTTATTCTTGGTCAAACACTAAAACTCACTGAACACAGGAAGTGATACAGCTGACAACAAATTCAGTAAAAACAAAAAAAAAAACGTTTTACTTGTTTTAACTTGCTTCAAGATTTATTAATAAAAAGTTATTTTTGTTCAATTGTTTTCCGTTTTGTTCCCAGAACCAGATGAGACAATGCTTCAGTTCCTGTAGTTTCAGTCCTTCAGAAAAAATATCAGCTTTCTGTTTTTTTACTGCCACCACTGAAAGGCAAAGGCAGACAAAAATGTTATTGCCTGTCTSTGTCTGTTAGCAAAATATCTCATTGTCTAGTGTTTGAATTTTTTGTCAGTCTTCCAGGAAATAATCACAGGGCATACATCTACAAGTCTTTAACTTTAGAAGCCAAAACAAACTCGCAACAGCCTTAACATGCGCGGACTGTCAATTTCTTAAAACTCCTTTAAAAGCATACGCTAATTAAATCAATTAAAAGCATACACAAATTAAATCAAGTTCTACTCAAACGCTTTGAGGAAATTCACAAACTTGTTTCTGTGTAAAGCAATCAATATTCTTTTTTTTTTGCTTCAGCAGTGATAACTTTTGTAACTGTAACTAGTYTTTAGTTGTTGAAGTTAAAATACACAAAAATCAAAAAAGAATTTCTCACTTAACATTGTTTACATTAAAAAAAAAGTCCCAGCTCATGAAAGGAAAGAGGTATTTAGGGGGAAAATTAGGCTAAAATATAAATTCCCAGCTGTAGAAAATTCAAACGTGGTGGTAACAGTAGCGTCACAAAAGAATATCTGAGACATAATATAATCCAGCATGTCGAATTAATATTTGGACTAATGTTCACCAAATGTCCAAACTGGACAAATATTTCCAAATACTGTTATTTCTAAATGCGTCAAAGAGACTTCAGTGAGGGCTCAAATGAAAGGTAAAAACCCCATAAATCATATTCTAATCATTTTCCAAGATGACAATGCATCGTGCCAGAGGGCAAAAACAGTGAAGGCATTCCTTGGAGAAAAGACACATTCAGTCGATGTAAAGTCCTGCAAATAGTCCAGATCTCAACCCAATTGAAAACCTGTGGTGGAAATTGAAAAAAAAAAAGTCCACAAGAAGGCTCCGACCTGCAAAGCTGATCTGGCAACTGCTGTCAAAGAGAGTTGGCACCAAATTGATGAAGAATACTGTTTGTCACTCATCAAGTCCATGCCTCAGAGACTGCAAACCGTTATAAAAGCCAAAGCTGGTGAAACGAAATACTAGTGATATATTTTGAATGGTCTTTTGTTTGTCTGCTTTTCATGATTCCATACATTTTTCCTCAGAATTTAGTGATTCCATACTTTTTTTCCCTGTGCTTGGTCAATAAAAGTAACATTCACTGACTTCCACAATGTTTTCTCTTCATTTCTTTGAGTGTTCCTGAAAGCCAACAAGTTGCACTTTGGAATGAACTTATTATTGCAACATGTTTTTGATCTGAGTTTGTTTTACAGAATCAAATGTCTGAATGAGTGCTCATCCAAGACTGGATGAGCATGTGATTCCATACGTTTTGCCAGGGGTTGTATATTTTGTACAATTGCATGTATATGTGTAGATGTATGTAGAATGTTTATACTTGTACCTACACACATAATGCACACACACTCACTTTTATCCACTTGAATAATTGTAAAAAAATAAAAATTTTAATTCATGTAAAAACATAATCATGCATTGACTTGATCAGCAATTTTCAGCCTCATTAAACCTCTTTCTCCTGCAGCAGCAACAGTATTGCRTTTTAAATTTTTAAATATATGTTGATATTCTCTAAACGGCGTCATTAATATTTCTAGTTCCAGTGCAGAGAAATGTACATCCAGTCTTCTTATTTTCTCCCTTTGCCATGGTGAATCACGTGGGCTTTTGCTCCAACTTAACTCAGGGGTAACTTGACTCAGGATTGAGTTACCCAGTTGATATCAGCTGTTCTGAAACAAAAAATCCTGAGTATAACAGAACGAGGTAGGTTGATTCAGAGTATCCGCCTTCTAGGGTTTGTTAAGCCTGCTTTCTGAAACGGGGCCCAGGTGTCCCTGTAATGGACTGGAGACCTGACACAGCCTCCACCCCAACCCAGATTAGGAACCAGGAGGACATAATGGATGGATTTTTTRATAGCAGGAAACAGACATGTTTGGAGTTAGGTGTGTGTGAGGGACAGAGAGAGGGAGACTCATATGAAGAGAGCAGCAGAAGTAAATTAGCTGTGTGTTTAGCATGAGATGTGGCAGTGCCTACAAGGTAATTGGTTACACAGCTGAAACATCAGAAAGAAACTCAAAGCTGATTGGTCAATTCTACAGTTAATCAGTCACATATCCCACAGACATGTGGAGCTTGCTACACGTTTTTGGCTCTGGAGAAGCTATACTGTATAACCACCCAGTTAGTCAAAAGTGGTGTAAATCAAAAGAAGACAACTAATAAAATCATTTTAATGGCTTAAAATGCAAATATGAAGTTCCTGGCAGRGGGGGAGATGATGTAGAGGCTGAAAGTAACTGCAAATTGTCAAAGTTCCTTGGGCAGTAGACTGCAGGTTAATGTTTATAACACTAAAATCTGAGGTGGTAGTAGCTGAGAGTCGTCACAACACATGCACCAAGTCAGCTCTGTTCTCTGTTAGCAAAATATCTCATGTACAGGGTGTAACGAAACTGTCAGAAAGTAATCACTGGGTTAACAATATTTGGAGTCAATCCTATTCAAGATGGCTGCCACAGCTACCTGACATTAGCTAACACAGAAGCAGCTAAATGTTGATGCTGTAGCAGCTGAGGATGATCTTCAASACATACTGTGATACATGCCTGACATCTTCTGATAATAAATTAGCTCAAGTAGAATGTTTTCAAAGTTTGACCAAAACGTCTCCAACTCTGTCACTTCTCAGCGAGAAGTTTTATTTTCTTGCTCTAACTGTGCTGAGAGTTTGTGTTTCTGAGCACGTCTTTGTGTTCCTCAGCCACCTTCTACAGGAAGTTTAACTGCTGACAGGAAGGAAGCTCCCTCCCTGCTCAACACAACAAATTACACAGCCGAAGGGTCCGTCCAGCTGGAGGTCATAGCTAACCAGGAGCAAACACCATGTCCACATAGATAGCTCACACTCTGTAATACTCTGTAAGGTTACAAATGGCCTTTTTTCCACTAGRGCCTCTACAGCATGGTCCAACTTGGTTGAACTCTGTTCAGCACGGTTAGGGTGGTTTTCCATTACACTTCACAAACAACTCTGGTGGGTAGGTTCTTTGTAACGTTGGGCAGTCCCAGAGTCCAAAAATGGATACTATACCTTACCAGCTGGTGGTGGTTATGCTCCATGAAGCTATTTGCCACATAAAACATAGAAGAAGAAGAAGACTCCGAAAAGATATGCAACACAACAGTGAAGGGCATAGTAGTGTTATTGCAAATGATAGATTGAGTTGTTGTGAGAGAAGCTCTTGAGACACAACCAGTGACTCCACCCCCAAACCAGTCAGTGACCAACAGTCTTCTGACGTTGTGTTTACACACCAGCATGGAACCACAGAGAAGTTCTGGAAAAGGGTCTGGTTCCATAAATCCTTAACCGTGGAGAGCCAAGTTGAGCTGTGCTGTAGAGGTGTTAGTAGAAAAGAGTCATCACAGCAGGGAAAACTGAAGGTGGTTTTACACATACAGAACTAATGTGGAATATTCAGTTTACATCCAATGATTACTTTCTGAAAMACTTTATTAAATCCATCCAATTTAAGAAYCTTATTGGGGTTTGRTTTTAAAAGCACTACACATTTTATAGTCTTTTCTTAGGTGAATAATGTCTTTATTGTGTGATTATTTTTGTGATTAAAATGATGATTTTATGTACTGACTGGTCTGAGTGGCTAAAAAAAACATGGTTGCCCAGGGGAGGAGGTACAGTTAGTTTAGATGCATGCCTGGACCAGGGTTATCATAGTTAACTAAAACTAACTAAATAATGAAAACTGAATTTGAAAAAACATTTTAGTTAACTGAAATAAATAACAACTGCAACAAAATGTAAAAACGATAACTAACTAAAACTGTATAGTCTTCTCACAAAACTAACTAGAACTAACTGAAACAACTGATAGAATATTCTTAGTTTTAGTGTTTGTCAATTTATTTTGAGCCATGTGGACTGATTAAAGTAATCTTTTTTTTCTTCAAATTGAACAGTTTCACATTAAGTTGCACATTAAGTTGCACATCATGGTCTATAACGTCACCTGTTTACAGTCTGCTGCTGCTGCTCAGCGCTCACCTGCAAAATGACGACAACAAAAATTGGGAGAAAGAAGTAATGTCTGATTTAGGATTTCTTTGAACATGACTGTGAGAAAGTTAAAAGCGTCTTGTAGTGGAAACAGGTAAATAGAATGAGTGGAATACTTCTTAAGGGACTCATTGAGTATCTTGACAAGCAGCTTCTCTTAGTAGCTGTAGCCCAGCCAGCACCAGGATCTAACAACTATTTTCACCTTCTTAAAACAATTGTCCAAGTCCTTTGTTGGTGAAACTGAGTTATGGGATTATTTTAGGAAGGTGTTACTATAACAGACTGCTTTGACTGATGATCAAAAAGCTGCTGGTTAGTTATGGTTAGTTAACTCACAGGAACACTTCAAGCTGGAGGATGCATTGGCAAATATGTTTATTCAAACTACAAAAAAACTAATACTAGAACTAATAAAAACTAAATTAAACTAAAACTAAGCAATAAAAATGTAATAATAACTAATAAAAACCAGCAAATCCATGCTAAAAACTAATAAAAACTAACTGAATTAAAAGAAAAAATGTCACAACTAAATAAAACTAAACTACAATGAAAAATCCAAAACTATTATAACCTTGGCCTGGACATGAAACAACGCATAATAAAAATGTTGATTTTAACACTAGGAAAGGAAATAAATATGAGGACCTGGTTTCAGATGTAGGTTGACCCATTTTAATGATGCAATGAAAATAGGCGGAGTCATGTCCTGAAGAAAATTATGTAATGAATTTGTTTCCTGAAATGCTTTGCTGAATGCATGGGGAGAACGCATTAAGCCTGCAATTCAGTCCAGCGCTGGTGTGGTTTTATGACTTCTTTTCACATTCAAACATTCAAGTACTGACATATTTTACATGAATACGTAATAAGGTAAATGAACACGTTTAAATTTCTTTTCACAGTGGTTGAATAGATTTTTGCTAACAGATTAGACTTGACAGTCCTCCTAAATCATGACAAAGCTTTCGAAACACATCTTGTACSATCGGTTAATGCTCAGAGTTTCAGTTGGGGATGACTCTCAGCTACCACCGTATCAAATCAGGGTCAARATCTATAAAATGTATTGAGTTGTATTTTCTAAGGTCAGATGTCTGCAGCAGTTCATCAGTTGTAGGTGCACATCTCCTGATTATTTGCTGAAAGTTTCAATAAAATCCATCATGTGGTTTATGAAATATTTTGCTGACAGACATAAACGTGCACAGATGGACAAAAATATTATTGCCTATCATCTTTTAGTAGTGGCTGATAAGATACACATCAGAAAAACACCATATACACACACACACACACACACACGCTCAACATATAACTTAATGTATAACCTGAGAATGAAGATCGTGACTAAGTTAGACATCTATGACCTGCAGCTCTTGCCAAAAACAGGTTTCCTCTGAAAACCTGTAGAAGCTGTGAATACAGCTCTGTCCAGTACTGACACCATCAAAGATGCAAGTGAGCTTGTTTTCATCACAACATGACGCTGGAAGCTAAGATTAAAGCAACACAGAGAGAAATCAGACAGCTGTCACAAACTGAAAACTGCACTGAAGAAAAACATCACAACTGTCCATACCTGAGGCCCTACAGACTGCCAACACCTCATAACTCTGACTCCGTTTGTAAAGTTACACAGTCAAAAATTACCACCAATATTTTTTGTTTAATTTAGCCTTTTACAAGAAAAAAAGAACAGATTTATTTTTAAAAGTCAGTTTTTCACCATATGATTCAT